TCCTTCACGCCAGAGAAGTTGCAAGAGTTTTACGACAGATTGATCGCATCCGGCCACTTCCAGATTTTCACGGATCTCTACGAGCAGGAGGGCATATTCATCATAGCCTCGCCATCATTGATGGATAGACACGACGCCATTCATTCCATCTTGGGTCTGAGCTCGCCGGATCAGTTTGCGGAAGACCCAAGTGACCCGTATCTGTTGATTCTCCGGCCTGAGAGCAGCCCGCACTGGTTCGGCGACATTGTGCAGCTCTCAGTTCGGGAACGAAACATCGATCTGAAAAAGGGCCACATGAGACTAGTCGCTGCCGCTGCTCAAGCGCGACTCGTCAATGCCAGGAAAGCCTTCATCGATGCCGTCGACATGCACGTCGACCTGGTTGTGGAACAGAGATCGAATTTGCACAAGGTCAATACACGTCTGATGGAGACGAGACGTGTTGCCTACAAGTTGTCCAACAACTTCATGGACAGTGTCGAAATCATTCGGAAGCAGACCGAAGGCAGAGAAGTTCAAGAGCTCATTCAAACTTGCTTTGTCTTTGCGACAGAATTCGGTCAACGCTCTCTCCTTGTCATGGACAGCAACCGAAAGCAAATGAACAACCTCAAGCTGACGAAACTTGCTTTGGATTGGGTAAGCTTCATCTGTGACGACTGCATCGCGTCAGATCGAAAGACGTTCCGATGGGCGGTCCTGGCTCTGGAGTTTGCCATGGGGATGACCAGAGGCAGACACATCTTGGCTTTAGGCGAAGAAGAATACGCCAGGCTCCGGGCAAAGGTTGCTGGCTGCATGGCGCTTCTCATTTCACACTTTGATATCATGGGAGCGAGATCGAACCTGGCCGCCCAAGCAGAGAAGGAGCGCATCGAGGCCTTGGTTGGACAGTTCAAGCGCTTGGATAAAAATCGCATGCTCGACGACCATGAGGCTTCCAAGTACATCACGGAGCAGCGATTGGAGGAGATTGACAAGGTCGACGATATTAGGAGGGCCAAGGAGGCAGAGAGGCAGGCTCTCGGTCGCGTACTAGAGGGAAACAACGAGGTCGACCGATCGCTAGCCTACCTCTCATCCTCGGCTACCAACATTACGATGCGCTGGCAACAGGGCCATTTCGTCGGCGGCGGTACCTTTGGCAACGTTTATGCCGCTATGAACCTGGACTCGGGTCACTTGATGGCTGTTAAGGAGATTCGTTTGCAGGATCCAAAGCTCATCCCCACCATTGCCGAGCAGATCAAGGACGAAATGGGTGTCTTGGAAGTGCTCGACCATCCCAACGTAGTCTCGTACTACGGCATCGAAGTTCATCGCGACAGGGTCTATATTTTTATGGAGTTCTGTCAGGGCGGTTCTCTCGCGAACTTGCTAGAGCACGGCCGCATCGAGGACGAGCAAGTTATCATGGTTTACGCATTGCAGCTGCTTGAGGGTCTTGCTTACCTTCACGAGAGTGGCATTGCCCATCGCGATATTAAGCCTGAAAGTAAGTTTATCTACCCGATTGGTCTAGCAACTGTTCTAACAACTTACAGACATTCTCCTCGATCACAATGGTATCATCAAGTACGTCGACTTTGGAGCTGCCAAGGTCATTGCTAGGCAAGGCAAGACGCTTGTCCAAGATCTCTCCTCTTCCAAGCCCAACAAGTCGATGACGGGCACGCCCATGTACATGTCGCCTGAGGTGATCAAGGGTGAGAACCCTGGCAGAGCCGGCTCAGTCGACGTCTGGTCGCTAGGTTGCGTCATTCTTGAGATGGCCACTGGTCGTCGTCCTTGGGCCAACCTGGACAATGAGTGGGCCATCATGTACAACATTGCCCAAGGCAACCCTCCTCAGCTGCCGTCGGCCGATCAGCTTAGTCCACAGGGTCTCGACTTTTTGAAGAGATGCTTTACCAGAGACCCCAAGCACCGCGCATCCGCCGTCGAACTCCTGCAACACGACTGGATCATGACTATCCGCAGCCAGGTTGTAGAGCCACCTACACCTAGTGATGCTAGTAGCTCTGCTCAGTCAACGCCCAGCAGTAGGAGCAACACCAATGACGGTTTCTACTAGGGCCAGAAATCGACACATGGTGTTAACCACTTCAACTCTATAGACGCACACCCTCAGGAGCCGCAACATGCACCCTCACCGTCACAAAGCAGTACCGATGTGCCAAATGTTCTAGCTACACGAACCAAGGACTAGGCACGATGTAGCAGAGCTGCATCGACAGCACTTTTATTTTTCAACAACGATACACGACCAAAGTTTCTCTCATTTTTCATACACACCGGGGAACCCCCCAGAAATTGCATCAGCAAAGCGTTCGGAGTCATTTCCTCGAGGGTTCACGTGCTTTTTCTGGTTACAAGGGTTTTCACAGGTATTCAATTGCTACTGGCTGGTCGGGGAAAGGAAACCAAGGGGGTTTCTCTCTTACATGACATACACGAACGTGAATGGGATACAATGGGAAGTTGAACACGAGTATGGCTTAGGAGAGCTATCGTTAAACATGTAATACAAATAATACCCAAAGGCTAGTTTTACCCAGCCGTCTATATGTCATGAACAGTTTTCTCTGTGGCCCCCTCCCGCCCATGCTCCTCTCGAGTGGCTGCCCGTTCTAGACCACCACAGCCTCCGCGATGGAAAATTCGTCCTTCTCCGAGTCTAGCACCGCCAGCGCGTCCATCGGCAGCGTCACGATGGGCGCGGTATGTCCAATGTCGACATTCATCAAGATTGGGAAACTGGTGCTCGCCCCCAACCGGCCCTTACACAAGAGACCCTGTATCACGGCCGCGTACTCGGCTCTCTCTTGCTCTGTGTTGTACCCGTACGCTCGACCGACGACGAGCCCCGCAATCTCGTCAAACACCCCGCGCGCCGCGAGGTCCGCGAACGCCGAGCGGATCCGGGCGAGAGGGTTGCCTTTCGTCATGTCGGCCTCTGCCGTCGCGGACTCGAGGAACATGATTTTGTCCTTCCAGGACGGGGATATGTGGGCGATGCCCTGGATGCGGGCTACGACTGTTAGGCAGCCGCCGAAGAGGCGGCCTTGTGTGCGGGGGGCTCGTCGGAGCCAGATCCAGGACGGAGAGGGGAGGAGGGTTCGGGGGGTGGTTGAGGTGCGGGTTGAGGGGGAGAGGAAGTAGGGGCATGTGATGGGGGCGTAGTAGGTTGAGCGGGGGATTGGGATGGGGGTTGTCGTGGTGGTTGGGGTGCTGAGGACCTGGAGGAGGTGGGCGAGGTGGAAGTCTTGGAGGTATCCGTCGTCTTCTGTCTTGTTGTTCTCCGTGTGTTCTTGAGAGAAGTCGAACGAGGAGACGGAGGCAGTCGTGGAGGTGACGGCCTCGCCGAGTTCCGAGACGGCGCAGGGGCCGTAAAAGGTGCGGAGGCCGGTGAGGGCGCGGAGGCACCAGTGGAGGACGGTGATATCGGAGTAGCCTACAAAGATTTTGGGGTTCTCCCTGATGAGATTCTGGAGGTCGACGTCTGCCACGAGGTAGGGGATGAGTTCTGTTGCTGTTGAGCCGCCGACGGTGCAGAGGACCATGTCGACCGTGGGATCGGCGAAGGCGGCGCGGAGCTCGGCTAGGCGGTTGCGGATCCCGGCGGGGATGGGTTCGCCGGCGGAGAGGACGGGGTCGAGGTCTTCGCCGTCGGGTTGGAAGATTGCCGTGATGGTGTAGCCTAGGGAGGAGAGGAGGGTTTGGGCGCGGGCGAGGGCGGTTGGGATGAGGGTGTTTACGCGGAAGGAGGGGGAGATGAGCGCTATTTTTGCGTTTGGGGGGAGGGATTTTGGGATTAGGGGCGGTGGGAAGGACATTGCGGCCGGGTTTGGTTTGTTGTTTTTGGGAGTTTGGTTTTGGATTGTTCCCGTGATGGTGACTTTGGCATAAGTCAGAGTTGAGCGTTGATGGTGTGAGGTGTAGTTGGATCTGAAGCTTATGGTTGATGGCGGGTGTTATACAGTCTCATTAACGAGGCAGTCTTGCTTCGTTTGGAATCAACATACGTGGCCATAACGTAAACCAGAACAATCGCATTCGGGTGTCGATGGTGATTTACAGTTCGGCCCGCCAAAAGAAGCCGTCAACGTTGCGACGTTCGGTGTGACTCCTACAAGTACACGCGTTGGATTACGAGGAATTCAGTTGAGGTCAAGCACGCACTCATCACGCAATTGAGTACATGGCTACTGGGAAGATAGATGGGAAGCAGGGGTGAAGTGGAGAGAGGAGGTAAGGGACACAGTTGGTAGTCGTCCGAACTCACGTCAGCACATGCCCCGGCCCCGAGAGGGGAAGGTGGTCGCGAAGGTTCAACCCCACCTCGGCCCGGGGGTGTCTTGTCGGTCGGCCGATGTCTCCGGAAGTGGGGTGTTTGGCCGGCATGTGTGACCGTAGTGCCCGCGGCCCAAGGGCCGGACACTTTGTGCCTCCATCACGGATGAAAGCTTAAAGTAATTCACTGAAGCATATCCAGAATCTCCCATAAGTTTCTCGCGCCTGAATCCTTGCTGGTAATTGTTGTTTTCAAGGTGAAGAACACGAAGGGACGGCTCAACGCCGTTGACCCTTTCAACCCTACCAGCCATCATACATGGATACAATCACTCCTGGTCCCATGCACACTCTCATAGGAAAGTTTTGTAGTTAGTCACTCGGCGTACAAGATGAATCGACATCCATGGAAACAGCTACCCTCTGGGTACAAGGCTCGCGTTTTCTAAACTCAATCGCATATAGCCTTACACATTGAGGGAAAGTTCAAGCATCGTTTATGTGGAAAGGCTCGACTTACGTAATTTTCCAATCTGTCAGCGAGAAACTCATACTCACACAAAAGCGGATAGAGACGTTTTCCGGCTTGCTGTCGCGATCATATTGCTTCTAGAATCTTCCCAACATTAACCTCAATGCTCATGAACTCTACATATTCTCCTCGGTAAACGACCTTAGACGGCTCAAAGCTTCAATTGCAAAACTTAGACATCGTCAGTTATAAGCTTACGATGCCCGTATTTCTGCCTTCCGCGCCAAGTCCTGACAACGCGCATGACCCCGAGAACAAGAAAAACAGCAATGGCGCCGCCACTGAACATGGTCCATTGTGACGGCCAGCTCCAAAGGTTACCCAAACTCCTCTCAGGCCCGCACTTTCCCGTAAACATCGTCTCCTCGTACAGGGGACATTCCTCGTTGACCACGAGAGACTCGCCAGGGTTGGGGAACTTCACGCAGCTGCCCTTGTTCTGTGTCCAGCAGCCGTTGCCATTGTTCGCCTCGAACACGAGGGGTGCCTGGTCAAACTTTGCCGCCCGCTCCTGTTCGGTGACGTCTGCGTTCGTCTCTTGTCCCAGAACCACTATGGGAGCGCAGTTCATAAACATTTCGGGAACGCTCCAGCGACCGTACCATGTCCACGCCATAACGGCCGGTCCTACGGGTAGCCAGTCCGGGACGGTGAAGTTGTAGAGGCTGGGCAGGACGACCGTGGGAGAATCTCCGTAGTTGACCTCGGTGAGGTTCCGGATCGGACAGCCGCCCTCGATGGAGTGGATAACTCTCCATTGGCTCTTCCTTGTGGGCTTAAGGTCCCGTGTCACCGAGATTTGGCACGAGCCGCCGCCGTGGGAAGCGCCTCCCATGGCCCTGTGTAAGTCGTCAATACATATACTTCAAGTAGCAGCCTGTATCAATGGTTGACTTACCGCAAGTGCTGCTTTGAGCCCCTCTCCCAGATGTTGGATACGCCGGACCAATCGTAATCCACTTCGCCTTTACATGGCCAGTCTGAGCCATCGTTGGCTACTGGACCGTTGTCCCGGAGTTGACTTGGGAAAGGAATGGGGTTCTGCATAAGCGTGTGGCTATTCACTCCAACTGAAAGAAGGAGCAGACATGCCATTAGACTTGTTGATAAGGGTTGGGCCATTTTGTGTGAAGGGTTTGTCTGCCGACTGTTTGGGCTGTAAAGAAGAAGCTGCTTGTCTCGATTAAGTCAAGACTTTCGTGCTGACCACGACTACATAAGGTAAAGAACGGGAAAGCTACCAACTAAGTCTAGGTCACTTTCTATTTTCAGGTCAAACTTTTGTCTCGCGCGATAGAGGAGCTCACTGCCGCCGTTTCAAGAAGACTGTTCTGGATCACCTCAACGTCGTACCAAGCAGCATCCCGGGCACACCGCCGTCAGCAGCAGCAAAAGCAGATGGCGGTGAAGTGCTTTAACGATTCATGTTGTCGCATCTAAGGGTCCATCTAGTTCGTGATGGTATCCCTGATCACCTGCATGCCGGGTCATGTTTCCACTACATGTCGATCAAGAGTGGCAATCAATACTGAGGGGGATATCAGAGGGGTCCAGATTCACGGTGTCCCCGCTTCGGAAGACTTCCTAAAGGGGACGACGTTTCCCGCAGTGTAAAGACACAAATTATCAAGACTTTGAAAGCCGCTGTTAGATCGAATATTGTGAGTTTGAGGTTGTATTCTGCGCTTCGCAAAGCAACTCACAGAGCGAAGATGACGGCTTCTTGTTTTCGGGCGACTATTGGCCGTCTGGTTGCCTTGGGCACGATTCTTACGTTTGTGACTTTCCAGTATATTGCAGTAAAGTCAAAACCTCAACTAAGCTTCTATGAAATTTTCCTACAACTCAGTTCTTGCATCCTCCTGTGTAACTTCTTAGTCGTCGTTGCGCGCTGGGCTGAGTATGAACCCATCCAGGGGCTCAAGGACAATGGCCGATTGCCATCTATCAACGTCATTGTTCCGGCGTACAACGAGTCTGAGTTCGTGAGGAACTCAATATCCTCTGTGTTGTCCTCAGATTATCCCAGAGACAAAGTCCATATCATCGTTGTGGATGACGGCTCGACGGATGATACCTGGTCTCACATACAACACGCACTTCCACCAAAGTCTTCGACTCTTTATACAACAATCCGGCACGAGATCAACCGTGGAAAACGCCAGGCCATGGTCACGGCATTTGAAGTGGCCAACAACGAGATACTCGTGACTCTGGATTCCGACACTACTCTCGACAAGCATACTCTCCGGAACTTGGCCAGTCCCTTCGTCCTGGACAGAGACGTTGGAGGCGTCGCCGGGCACCTCTCCGTCTTCAACATCCAATCTCAAGGATGGGATAGCTTCATCCCTCGCATCCTTGACTGCCTTTTTGAACAAAACGGCAACATTCCGCGGGCGGCGCAGTCAAAACACGGGTTCGTTACCATTCTCCCAGGCGCCATCTCCGCGTTCCGCAGAGACGCCATCCTGCCGCACACTAAGGCCCTCGTGGACACGAAATTCCTCGGGCGTCCGATGCGGCACGGCGAGGACGTCCAGCTCACGATGGGACTCCTGCGCGATGGCTGGCGTCTCAAGTATCAGAGCAATGCTGTTGGCTACACAGTCGCGCCAGAGACGTTTTTGAAGGCTTTCCTCATGTACGTTCGCTGGGAGAGGAGCAACCATACCTATTGGATGCTCGGGCTTGTTCGTCTAGCCTTTCGCGATGCGGCGAGATTCTTCACTCGACGCTTTGCTCGGCCGTGTTCGAGCGAGCCTGAGCTACTGCTGCCCGGAGACCTGGAGAAACAAGGTGGCAGGAGAGAGGTGAATGCCCGCACGCCGGACTATCATCCCATGCTGATGATTTTCTGCGCGGGGTTTGCCAACTTTTCATACCTGAGTATTGTGATCTCGTGGCTACGGGGCTTTTACTTCTCTCCGTGGGTTACATTCATGAATCTGGGTTGTCTCGTCGTGTTTGCCACTTGGTTCAGTACTCTGTTGTTGGCGGATGCTCTTCACGAGAGCGAAAGTAACATGGCAGTCGAAGGAGACGTCAAAGAGTCGGACGAGACCCGGTTACTAAGGACCGAGGGTTCGTACTCGAGATTGAGGAAGAAATTGCAGTATTCTTGTTTCTCTACAGTTGCCAACTTCACATTTGTCTGTTGGGCTTCTGTAATTGGATTGCTTACACTGAGGAGTCAGAGTTGGTTGACAAGGTGATGGTCTCTGTGGTAGTGGATGCGACTTCTTAGACAGTAAATCAAACACTCTGCGCTCATGCTGTACTTTTCGGAAGAATGTTTACGAAAGCGCATAGGGATTTTTCTTGAATCCAAAAGAGGAAAGAAGCCGATCAAGCAGATAACACTCTACCCGCCACGCATTCTGAGAAGAGCAGCCAAGCAAATCAACACTCTACCCGCCACTCAGTCTGAGAAAAAGCAGCGGAGTCAGAAGACAGAACCAGAAAGATTTGGCGCCCATCCCCTGCGATTTCGCCATCGACCAACGGCATCGCCGTGTACGAGACTATCGCAGTCTTCTAGCCTCATGCAGTCCAAGCTGGAAAAATGCAAGTGACGGTTTCGGGTTCTCCCTCTTTACGGCAGGTATTGGCAGACAAGTCGGGGCGCCCAGCCACCGGCGTGGCAACGGAGGTTCCATTGGACCCCTACACAGTAAACCGGGATCCGTAAGCTTATACGGGGTGGCCAGTGAACAGTCTGGAACCCATCATATCAGGGCTTACTTCATTTATTTAGAGTTTCGGGCCGGCAAAGAGGGGGGGACGTGGCCAAGCGATGCTGCCGCGTGGGATGCAACACAACATGGCGACAACGGAGAAGATTACAAAACACGTGTGAGCTGGGATCAGTTACTGCTGCTCAGACAAAAATACAGATATTCTGCCGGGAGCAATGCCGAAGGGATGAGGGTAGGGGTCGGGAAGTGAATGGGGGCAAAACCGCCTATGAGGCCTCTCGCTCCATGCCATTCATCTTCCAGAATTCCTGAACTCTTGCTGGTTCAAAATTCGCATTCTGTTGAGGAGCGGATCTGAATCGGCTCAAAGACAGTTATGAGTCCCCCAATATTGTCAAAACACGGTCAAGTCATCCGCAAATGTACTGTAAGTCACATAACCACTTGAGTCCTCCGTCAAAAGTGTACCCAAAACTGACATAATTCCAAGGTTCCAGGAACAGTAGCATTCACATTCGATGACGGCTCGTGGAACGAAAAGGATGAAATCCTAACACTGTTCGCCCAGCGAAATGCACAAGCTTCCTTCTTCCTACGTAGCACTCTATGGACCGCAGATTCAATAAAAGACGACGGGAAATCTGTAGTACAGAGTATACACAAAAACGGGCATCTGATTGGATTTAGCACCTCGAGTCGCCATCCTCACAGCGGCGTGGAGCATGACGACCTCCTCAAAGCCCGTCAGAAGATTTCCACGGTTCTCGGAGCCTCATCCTCCTCTGAGGGCCTTCGACCACAGTACATTTGGTCGTCCCCGGTCGATTGCACAGTACGGAACGGCTGCGTTGAAAAGTTGACGATAAATGGTCAGCGACTGGTACTTTGGGACGGTAGACCGGCGGACATGAGTAACAACACGGAGACTACGCTTCTCCTCGACAGACTACAAGCGGCAGACTCCGGGCGAGATTCTTTTCTCATCCCGATACGAGGGTTTCAAAAAGAGAGTAACCACAGTTTCGGCGATCTACTAGATGGGTTCCTACAAAAGGGCTTCCAACCGGTTACTGTAGGAGACTGTATAAATGACCCCAAACACTTCTGGTATCTAGATCACTTGGGACGTCCGGCGACTAGCTTGGCATTTGGCCGCCATGGTGTAGTATCGCCTGGCACATTTCTCAGTCAAGTTCGATGGAGCGGGATACTGGCTGTATTTTTCTTAGAGTTGATGGCCCTGTCTTGCCTGTTCTGGGCTATTTGTCGGTATAGAAAGATCAAGTCACACCAACGTGTAGTTCAATGATGACGCGTTACGACCAAGTCAAGAAAGAAGTACCAAAATGTGTCGACACACTCAATGACCCAGACTTACACGTAACGATCTCACAAAAAGTAGAAACCACTCGTGAATTTAAGCAACATCAAACTAGGTAGAATGGCCACTTACTTCTCTGGGAATGAGTAGACATCACTCCCTATATATTTTTTTCTCGAAGGAAGATACCTTATCCATGAATAATCGGGTGCAAGACCGCACCAGATAAACCTAATGCGGTATGATCACACGGCATATTCGTCAATGCATTTTGACACAGTGGCGCTCGTTTAATAGCCTGGGATCTCAGAGTATAAGTAATTGATTGTCCCTCAGCTCGAAGAAGCTTCGAACACCTGGCAGATGGGAACAGTTACTGAAATGGCTTCTTATGTGCGCGAAGTCTATGTGCCCTTCACTCTAAAGCCGTAACAAGTAGGCCCCATCTATCTCATCCTTCCGCGGCCAAGTCTTAGTTACAAGTGTCCTATATCCTACAACCCTTCACTCGCACTCAACACGAACGGACCAGACTCCCTTCAAAGAGTGGCACTGCCTGGTGCTGAAAGCAGTAACCGCACTGCCTCTGCAGTTTCCGTTGTTGTATCCTCTCACTATTTACGATACTTGTGGTCAGATGTTTCTGTTTCTCACTTTGTTCCAGGGTTCAAGGGCTTTATTGTCTTACTCTTGCACTTGGTGTCGTAGTCAATGACCTTCATGCCCCAATCGGTGCTGTAGAGGGCGTGGCACTCGTTGGCGTTCCAGTCCAGGTTGCCGCCGCCGGACGAGGAGCAGTCCGTCTTGCCGTACTTCTTGACTCTCATGTCGTAGGCCGCGGCGGCGGGGGCGAAGATGGCGCAGGCCGTAGTGGCGGCGGTGAGGATGTTGGTGATGAGCATCTTGGAAGTGTGTTAGGTGGAAGATGAATATTGATTTGGAGTTTTGAGCTCTAAAGTCTGATCTTTCTTGTTGTGAGTTGATGAGGGAGAGAGGTCGTGGAATAGAGGAAAGAAGACGTGTTTATATATTCCAGAGACCTGCAAGAGTAGACGCTGGTCATCTATTCTTCACTCTTCGTCTCGTATGGGAATCTGAGCCTGTGGATACTTCATGATAGCTGGATCAAAAGTTCCTGGCGAGTTCCCGTACATCTTCAGCCCTGTTCCGCCCTGCCTACACCTACTTCGCCTCTTCCACGTCGGGCAAAAAACTGACAACTCGACTTTTAGGTAACAGAATTCCGAAGATATCGTCAAGCGCAAGAAGGGCTTAGCAGAGACAAATGTAAGCGCCAAGAAGCACTGCGGGCCTTTAGATCATGACACTCTGCAGTCTCGAGGATTTCCAATTATTTTCTTGGCAATATCAGACGATGGCGAGAATGAGAAAGACACCAGCTTCCTACTGCGGTTGTCTCCACGGTAGCCGATTGGTCTAGAAGGCATAGGGCTGGGACTGTTTAGACTTTTGTACCAGTGGGGCTAAGGATTCCGCCGGGCATACGGGGTGTTGTTGATGGGGGCGGAAGGAATGAGCACCTTAACTTTGTGATAGAAACTCGAATCCTTCCGACAGGGTGGGTATTTGACGAAAAGACCGAGGAGATGGTATAGTCCCGTTGAAAGCCAACATGAACAATGCAAATTGAGAGTCAACATATCCAATGCCAATTGAGGCAATATGATGAGGTACCCAGACCATCAAAGCTCAGTGAAGCTTCTATCAAGTTCTGCTGTCCAACACAACCTTTTGCCTCCGACCGAGGCTTCCGACAACAGCATAGTAATTTCCATCAAAGGATGCGGGGAAAAACGACTTCGTGTTGATGCAGAATTTCATTTTAGCATCATGCACAACCCCCCCCCCCCAGATCTCCAGGGATCGACCCGAGCCGCCTTCGCCCGGGCAATGTGGCACGGCCTAGGGCTGCGACAGGGGGGGACAGAGAGAGAAAAGTGGGCGAACATCAGCCCACGATATTCCTCTAGATGAACAAAACTGATGAACGGGGGCAGGATCCAACATCGACTTACCTTAATTACTAGTAGATGGAAAGTATGATTGTCGACTATTACTTTCGTCGGGCAACTAGCTTGAGGGGCATAGCCGCGGTTCTAGGCGACGGGTGACGAGACTGTGAGACCAATGTTTTTGCTCCTCCAACCAACCAACGTATAAGTCTCGGGCGGAAAACTCCACCTTCTTGCTCGCTTATAGCGGGACCTCTTAGACTCTAGATTTGACGATGTTTCATTGAAACTGGATAGTGTTCAGGTGCACATTAGTTCTCTCTTATACGCCGCAATAAGTCTCGGTTAGCCTATGCGTAGTTTAAGTTAATCAAAGGATTGAAAGGATCCTACTGCCCATTCCTTCCGATGCAGGAGATCAGGAACTCATGGCCTGTTGAGGTAGTTCCAGGGTTGACTCCCAAGCCTAGGTTGATTGGTTGGTTGTTGTTAACTTAGGAGGTGGAGTTGTTCGTATAGGATATACTTGAAAGAATGTACTAAATGGCCTATGTACATATCGCCAGGCAGATAAGATCTGTAGATGTTTACACAGTATGTACCTGACCTTATCCAATACGTACTGAACGCGTCGTATGAGCCGGGGAAAACTCAATTCCCAAAGATGTCGAGCCCGTGCTTAATCATCCAACTCATACCTTCCGCCCGCCAGTCGTCCGTTTCCAACACAGTGCCGTTGAGACCAAACACCACGTCGCTACCAGATGCACCGCCTTCCGTTGAGTAGGCAGGCCACTCGCCCAGATCCGGAGCGCCATTGGGATCAAGAGAGACGAAAAAGTTGACCCACGCTGCGGACATGGTCTTTGACAGCGCGGTGGCCTTCTCAGTGTAGCTTGTGCTGTTGCCTCCAAAAGGGTTTACGTCGTAGCCAAGGCCGTTGAGGTTGTTGAATACGAATGCGACCTGGGTGGAGGTAAGTCTTTGCACAACAGCTGATGAACCGCGAATGTCTTTGCCACGTCACAGTCAACAAACTTACCTCCTGGAAGTGAGTCGCGCCAATGTACTCTGGAACTCCATTCACGGTAACGTCGAAGCGATATGCGTAAGACGACACGCCGTTCTGGGACCATATGATGTTGGCCCTGCGGCGGAGGAAGCCGAAGAACCTGCCAGAATGTCAGTACACACAAGCCTAATACCGAAGAGTCATTAGGACATACATGTCTCCGAAGAAAGCCCCGCCGCGTCTCTGCTGCAGACCCCGAGCTACGGCAATCTCCTCGCCGGGCTGAATGATGTGTGGCCATGTTTCCAAGCTCGGGATGCCGACGGCCTGGTCATCGGGGTATAGAGCCAATGCCTCATCAACAAGCTCCTCGATACTTTGACCCGTGGTCTCCTCGACATTGGGAGCCATGATGCTGCGTACGGCAAACGCCATGTCCTCATCAGTGTTGATCGGTCCACCGTTCGGGCCCCTCCCCTGGCCGAATGCAGAGCCTTCATCCGAGTTGGATCCGATCAGAATGGGGACCTTTACAAAGTCTCCGCGTTCGAGCTGCGACGTCGCAAAGTCTGCAAGGAAGTCGCCATCCTTCATGGGTATGAAGCTGAAGGATGACGTGGTTGCGTTCAGCACGGCATTGAACTCGTCCAGAGGTGCTGTGCGCAGGCACTCTATCGACTCCTGAGTGCCGACAGTGGAAGCGCAAGAGGAGATGTTGCCGACAAAGAGGTCGTAGTTGGTCTGGTAGGCAGTGGAGTTGAAGCCGCCGACCATGCGGGGGATGAGCCCTCCGAAGCCGGACTGGGCAGCCGCGCCTCTGAAGAGGCCGTCGTCACGTCCTTGAAAATGTTAGTCGTAAAGTATATCTCGCATGCGAATGGTGTCAACTTACCGTTGTAGGCCAGCACTTGCCCAGCGACACTCTCAGCACCTGAGCTTTCACCAAATATGACAACCTTGTCGGCGGCGCCGCCAAAGCTGGCAATGTTTTCGTTGACCCAATGCAGAGCCAGGCGCTGATCTCTGAAACCCAAGTTGGTCGCACCAGCGTCAAGGGCCTCCTTGCCACCGGGAAAGCCAAAGACGGATAGCCGATAGTTCAAGCTAACCGCAACGAGGGGAGTACCCTGCTTGACACTATTCTCGACGATGAAAGAGAGGTTGTATCGCCTGTCTGCTGATCCGCCCATGTACTTATCACTGTCAGCAGTGGTTCTCGCGAGGGTCCGGCAAAAGAACATACCAGGCCGCCTCCGTGGATCCACACAGCTACGGGAAGCTGCGCGTCAGCAGCGATACCGGCTGGGCGAACAACATTGAGATACAGGCAGTCTTCCGAAGACTCATAGCCAATCATGTCGGAGCCATAACCAACGCAATGCTTTGGGTACTCGGTGGCTGTATGCGTGCCGTTCCATGCTGAGTCTAGGCCTTGGGCGATACGGAATCGTTCAGGAGTCTAGAATGTTCAGTATGTCGGCATCAACCGAAGGTTACAGCCACATACCTTGGCGTATGGCATTCCAAGGAAGAAGTCCTGGCCATACTCTGCGCTGTGAATGCCAGTGTAAGAGCCATTCTTTACAGTGATAACGGGACCGTTGTCTCTACCACGGATAGCGGCGGACCATACTGGCGCGGATAGGTACAGGACCGTAGCTAGGAAGTACACAAAGAAAGCCATTCTCTTCAGCCGCTGATATCGATCCGGTTGTGGCCTGGGTGTCGGTAAAAGGGGAGATCGGCTATCAGGGGCCTTAGAACCCTCTTTATACCGCAACCTCTTCATGTCGAAGGACATTGTCTACTCAGGTACTACGCCATCGCACCCCATTAGTAAAACATGGCCACGAGATTTCGTTCGACAAGGGTTGACGGCAATCAGAAACTGGGGTCTATCGGACCGACACAATTCGCTTCTCTACATGGCGAGGGGAATAGCTAACGGATATCGAATAAGAGACGTTCGCAAGGTTGCCGGCCCTCCGTCATCGCCCCAAGTAAGTAACCAGGGCGTCAGGCACTACTTGGGCCCCGCGCCCTGGGGCCGATGCGAGTCAACGGCCAGGACTTTTTGTTGTGCAGGTACGGGACAACTCCGGGTGCTTTCTCCTCTCCGCATTAGAAAAGCAGATATGAAGAGGGTGATCGCACCAGAAGCGGTCTAGCAACTCCCCATCGAGTGGTAATGATGCCCTCTTTCGGAGTTGCTGCCACCAACCAGGGCCATCTCCGCGTGGGTAGCAGTGGATGCCGGCTGTGGTGAACGGCAGAAGAAATCCAGTCTATTGTCGACGCAACAGGAAGCCGGCGGAGGTTGATGCGGGGAGCGGGGGGAAGACCTGGGGTGTCCCTGGGACAAGACAGAGAGCGAGATTGGCAGATTTGGGGGCGATTGGGAATGTTGAATGAACGAACATCCACCTTGGCTTACCTTGATTGGTCTTAGCTCGGGGTTCTCGATGTCTCCGATAACCCAGTACGAGTGAGTACCTTGGTCTTTGCCTAAATGGCACAAGGGGAAAAGGAGTTCCAGCGTTCCAGTGGCAGAACGGAATGCGGAAGGCGGATGGCTATGTGTGTCTTGTTTTCAACGTGGTATTCGGGGCGGGTAAGCTTAGCCAAAACGTGGATCTTGGTGCTTAGTCTTAGTGTATCCGCGTGCCAGACGCAGAAACTGATCGGAATGTGAATGGGTATCGCCCGCATTCCTCGGACCATGTGGTCGAACAAAGAGCGCGCGAAGGAATGTGGATAGATCTTAAATTCAATGTGAAGTCAAAACCCCAAGCCTTCCTTGTCTTTGTTTCGGAGAATTAGAAAGAAGAAGAAGAAGAAGAAGAAGAAGAAGAAGAAGAAGAAGAAGAAGAAGAAGAAGAAGAAGAAGAAGAAGAAGAAGAAGAAGAAGAGACGTATCGAAGAAAGACGTTACAGATCAGACGCATTCCTGCAGCGCAGTGGGCAGCGACGGGAGGTTTGGCATTGTCTCTTTCCCCACACGAACCGCTTTCCCCAAAAACCCAATGCCGAGGGGGAGGGACCTTCCTCGCAAAATGACCGCTCGGGTGCCATTGGCCCAATTGACTTTCGGAAGAGTGGAGCCGATGTTCTTCAATGGAACTCTGCTGCGACCTCACCTCACTTCACTTCACCTCTCCTCAACGTCAGACACGCTTAGTTGTGGCCATGGGCATCTTGGAAATTGATATCCAAGCATGCGATAGTAGCCTCATGGTAATTCTAAGCGTGTTATATATCGATGGTATGCAATTCGTAGTTCATGGCCCCATAAGCAGGATATGAGCAGCCTTGGACGTCCAGTGTGCTTACATAGTACTCATGCGCTCGCGGGACTTACGGTATACACGAATGGGTAAAGGGGGAAACATGCATATAACATACCTAGGTATGCTTGAATGCTTTTGACTGTTTTGATTCCAATGCAGTCGTGATTATTCGTTAGATCAAATACGACCAGCGTGTATTCACCCAGGTAACGTGACCTCCCGTTGCCGCGGGATGCCCCCGCCCCAAAAAGTAAACAACACCACGCCGGGCATCGCGATGCAACTCTACTATGGTGCAATCACCCTCATCATCCATAACTCACCTCCAAACACTCATTTGACAAAAAGAAGTCATTCTCAAGAAATGTACCGACCAGATACGTGAAAATGGCAAATGGTTATGTGATCAAAAATGCAAAAGTTCAGAGCTCGAACCTGCGAGGTTCGAGCTCCTATGAAACCATCACTATCAGGGCAGTTCTGTCTCAAGATTCAAGTTTCTACCAGCTGGACTACAACCCGCTCGGCTACTGCGGCTAAACGCCCGTCGACGTTCTGTGTCCCACCGCGTCCGGTGGGCGAAAGGACGGGCACATCTGACCCCTTATATACCATACGACACTCATGGGAAGGCGCGATACCCTCGGTGTGGGTGGGGACTACACCGGGCAAGCGATTCCATCTGATGTTCACCAGAAGTGAACGGGGTGCCCGGTGGACTGTGCGGCAAGTACTTTTTTGATTTTGGGCCTCCCAAAAGGTGAAGTTCGGCGTCTCCTAACCTGAAGCTCGAGGTAAATCGCTGGAAGATAAACGCCCTATCCTGTCCTTCCCATCCATCCATCTATCCAAGCCCAAACCAGCCCGTCCCGCCCTGTCCTGCACCTCGCACTTTGCAATCCTATACGTGCTGACCTGCTCTGCGACATCCACGCAGGGTCGCGTTCTTCCGTTCACGCCGCCGCGAACAGCTCAGAGGTTGATGGCATATTCCGACCCAACGCGATTGAAGACACGTAACCTCGAACCATCCCACCACCTGTCCTGTGCTTCCAATGGGATATCCAGGTCCCTTTTCCCTCCCCCACCCTCCCCAGCCACAAACAGCGCCGCCGCCAGCAGGACATAAGCCGTATGTATATCATTACATTAGGTAAAGAGATTTGTTTCTTTGGTGTATGCAGTAGGTATCATGAGAAAGGAAAATCGTTGCTGCAGACGAAGAGAGATAAACAAAAATAAAGGAAAAGGAGGACCCGTGTAGTCCAAGTATAAGGTTGTCCCGGTGAAGCGCCGATGGCCCAGTGATAAAGCAAATCGCTGTATGTACAAAGTGAAAATCCACGCAGTAGAAAACCCTTGGTAGTTGTACAGCGCCAAGTATACATGATGAGCAAGTTTTTTTGACTGCTGCGATGACAAATCGAACCCCCTCGAAACTCTACTCTGCCAGGCCGATGTAAGGTTCAAGCCACGTTTTGAACGACACCTCATTCCCCGTGGAAATCTTGTGCAGTCATGTTGGTGAACTGAAACTGTCTTGACCGTGATTGCTCGGGTGACGGCTTGACTGAGACGGATGAGGCATCCGACCAGTTGTACTCGGTGTTGCCACCGCCGTACGATGAGTAGAACGCCGGTCCCATGTTGTTGGGAGGGAATGAAGGTGTGACTGGCTGGCTTGCGCAACCGTGTGCGACATAGCTCGGTACGCTCGACGACATGTTGGGGAACTCCTGATCAAAGCTGCCAAAGCTTGGTGTCGACAGCGGCTCATCGGATACGTTGTAGTCGAACGCGGGAAATAGAGAGTTCGGCATCGTCGTCATCATGCCGGGGGTGTCCGGCGGGGTCCTCATGGTAGGGTCCATGGCATATTGCGGTACTGTCAGGCTCCTTTGCATGCTGTAGCTCTTGTCATCCTCGGCCGAGGACATGGATGAGACGGTGGTCTCACGCAAAGCTTGTTGGCTAGGGACAATTGGTGTGTTTGGGGTTGGTGGCGCTGCTGGGCTTCGCGATATCGGTGACCTTGAGGCCATCTGCAAGAGGAGGTTCTCCTGAGCACGGTCAAAGTACATTGGCGATCTCGGGCCTGAACCGGCCGGCTTCTGAATTCCCCTCGGAAAGTTTCCTGTCGCAGATGCAACGCGGCGCATCGGACTAGGTGCCTCAATGCGCCTGGGCATCTCGATGCCGGTCTTCGGACCGGAGAAGTTGTATGACTGGCTGCGCACGCAGCTGACGAGCGCAGCGGGCCTCTTGGAGTTTCTTCTGCTGGCAATGTCGATGGTCGAGCCAGACTTGAATCGGAAGTCTGGTGTGGAGATTTCGGGAGGGGAGCGAGACATTGACTGGGGAGAGAACTGATCAAATTTGTCGAGATCCTCGCTTTGCATTTGCTCCTGCTTGACATTGATCGGAATGGGGCTAGTCATGCCGGTAGTCAGGCCGTGCGGGAAAGAAGCGAAAGACTCGTCCATGTCGCTTGCGCTCAGGTGGTAAGACGAGAACGAAGAGGCACTAGTTGACTCTGGAAGCTGTGTCGTCAAGTACTGGCTGGGAATCGAAAGAGTCAAATGGTTGGGTGTTTGTTGGATGACCTCTGAAGGCATAGGTGCCGAGAAATCGCAGGGTGTTTGGCCAGAGTAGAATTGATCGGGGCCAAGGGAGTAGCCGATGTTGATATCCTGGTGCTGGAAAGAGTTGGATGAGTCGGGCGAGGCGTATTCTGAATCCGGCTCTTGCGTAACGACCTGCGGCTGCTCAAATGTGGGCTCCGGGGTCTGAGTGCCCTCCGAGGGTGATGCTTCGCTAACAGACGACGCGTCGGTTGATACGTGAACGGGTGGGAATGGAGCAGCGGACGGGCGAAGATCGTCGTCGTGGTCGTGGAAGGACTCCTTGATAGTCTCGGAGCTTGTGGACGTCTCGGTAGCCTGCTCAGACTTGCGGCGAGCCTCATTTTCCTGTGTCCTCTTCTCCTGCTTCGCCTTTGCTCGCCGATTCTGGAACCAGTTCTATAATCTGTCAGTGGATATATTTCAGGAAACCAAGCTGAAGGGGGAAATACATTAATCCTCGCAATGTCCACCCTCATCTCTTCGGCAAGCTGCTTCTTCAAGCTGCTGTTGGGCTTGTTGTTCTTCTGGAATTCCCTTTCAAGCTTGTCGACCTCATCCTTGGCAAGTCTCGGCTTGGATTCGGTGGCCTTTCCTCCGGCTGCTGGGAACAGGCCCCGGCTCATCATTGCCTGTTGCTGTCGAAGCATTTCCATGTAGTCACTCTGATAGAGAGGGGCTCCGGGGAAAGGAGTGCTGAAGCCATAATCGTATGCTGACGCAGTCTGGTAGTTTGGGTAGAACGCCATAGCTGCTGATGTAACAAAGTTGGCCAAGCTCGAGGGTAGACCGTTCAACGGGGGGGGCTCGGTGGTTAACACGATGGCGATGGTAACGAATGTGTGCAGAGCGAGTGTAGAACCAGTGTAGTAACGGGGATAGGCATGCGTATTATGTTCTCGGCAGTGTTTAGACGCCGCAGGATCAAGTCTTCAGAACCAGAGATTTGAGTGAAAGAGTGACTGAGGTTAGAGGGCTGAGAGCCTGGTGATATTAAGAGAGATGTGAAGAGAGAACGTGGGTGTGAGAGAGGCGCGGGAATCGGAACAGCAGATCGAGGGGAGCTTGTCTGCTTTTAGATCGAATGGGGAACGACAAGCGGGATGAGGAAGGGTCAGGCAGGGCCGCGCAGAGGTGAGACAGCAAGGTCTGCTCAAGTCCTCCAAGGTCTTGAGGGCGAGATAGTCGATCTGTCTAGGCAAGGGCCTGTAGGCGCACAGACGAGGCTTGACGAGAGAGAAAGGGCACAAAAAACAATGACAGGAGGAGTGGGAAGAAGGAGTGACGGGAGAGGAGGGGGGTGAGAGGCGGAAGATGTATTGATGTGTCTTGTCGACCCATCATCACAGAGCGAGAGCGCTGAGAGAGAGTGTGTGTGTGCGTGTGCAAGCCGACGTGGGTGTAAGTCGCGCGGTACTGTGTAGTTAGGCGCTGGGGTGGCGGCAGGGCATGGGCGAGCACCAAGAAGGGGGGCCCTCTCTCATCGTCCACCGGGTACCCCCCTTGGCAGTGAGAAGATCATATTTGGGTGGAGGTATCGGGAGACCAAGGGAGCAAGGGGGTCAACTCTCTTGACTCTCAGGCCCTGGGAGGAAGAGAAAGGGGAGGGTCATGGAGGGTCTCTAGGGGCCAGGGCAGGGCAGACAAGGCAAGCCAGCAAAGCTAAGGTAAGGTAAGGTAAGCAAAGCAGCGGAGAGACAGGAAAGGACAGGACATGACAGGGCTCGAGCCGCGGTCAGTTGTGCATAAGGCACAGACTGTGTATCCATACGGGTAGACTGTGCTGAGCTATGCAGGTAGACCCAGACCAAACCTTGGGCCTTGGGCCTTGAGATGAGGATGAGGATGAGGATGAGGTGCCGCGGGAGAAGCGGACGTGGCCGGCGCAGAGCGAGGGGACAAGCAGGCTGTGAGAGTGAGAGTTAAAGTGAGAGGAGAGCCGACGTGTGGATGAGGGTGTATCCATGTCAGCACAGCGCCTGCGCGAGTGTGAAAGAGAGGGGGGGAGGAAACTACACTACATGTCGAGGATGCATTTGAGTGACATTGGGGGATTTGTGCAGTGAGCAGCGGCATCAGCAGCTGGACTCCTCCGAGTCTCCGACTCCAGCTTTGGAGTATGAGTGAGTGCATGAGTGCGTGAGTGAGTGCGAGGACGAGGACACAGGACGGACAGGAGCAGGGTGGTAGGATGGTTGCACCCACCTGAGCGAACCTGAATTGAGAGTGAACCCTTCACATCCACCGGGCATCCACACGTCCCATTCGCAACCCATCCCATCTCATCCCACACCCCCTAGTTCAGAATCCTGGCCCCCCCGGCCCCGGCGTCAGTCCCGACCCCTGGTCCATGAAGCGTCTTTGCGTCCCTGGGTTTGGACGACGCCCCCATGTCAGTTGGTGCCACACTAAAAACTTTGGACTCGACTCCCCTGCTCGGGCTGAAGATAGGCCCGGCAGGCGTGGACTTGGACGTGTATCCGTCGACTACGCGGGCGAGGCCTCTCGGTGATGAACGATGGCACTTGTCGAAGCCTGGAAGTTTGTACCGTCCGTGACAAGGCCAACGACTGACAGACTGAGTGACACGGCAGAGACAACCCGCCAAAAAGGACGAGAACAAGACATTGTAGGATGACGAGTCAATGCGCTGTCAACCATAGGAACAGTACACCGTACGGAGAACGGCATGACTGAGGCAGCGTAGAAGACGAGATGAGCATGGCATAACTAAACAATCGAGGGGTGATCTAGAGTAGAGAGAGAGAGAGAGAGAGAGAGTCGGGACTTTGACGGGCAAACGGACAGCATCCCGTCGGCTTCGAAGGGGCTCTGAAAAGTGGCGAGAATGTGACCGAAAGGGACAGGCAGTGTATCGACTTGACTCGACTCAACCGGAAGCCGGAAGGGGTAACGACGAGAGGGCAGTTGAAGAAGTGGTTCAGGTTGTGGAGGGCAGAATTACAGAGAAGAAGACGACGACGAGACAGGCGGGGCAGGTCAAGCCGGACAGGCACGACGATCCCAATGGCATCATCTGATCCGAAGAGGCGAAGATAGCTGAAGTCTGTGCTGCGTCGATGAGTGTTACTGTTTGTACCGAGGAGTGTGTGTGTGTGTGTGAAGGTGTGAGTGAGTGTGTCTTGTCCATTGTCTGTGACGGGCAAAGATGAAATGAAGCGTAGGAAGAAACTTCGGATGAGCTCGCACCAGACACAAGCTACAGGATCTGGGTGTTTATGCCGCTGTGGCGTGTAATTTGCCGCGTTGCACTTGCGCAGACAGCAGGCGCTACTCTGTGCATTGGTTTCTCTGGGCGGTGGAAGAAGCGTTTTGTTGAAGCTAAAACAACAGGATAGAGCGTAGAGAGAGGGGCAAAAATGTTTTCTGAGAGGGGGACGGGCGCGGACGGCTTAGTTAGTTGCCGGGTCGAGTTGACAAGTCCGGCCCTTGCTTAGTGCTCACTAGACGATTGGTAAGATGAGAGTTGGCGCGATGCTCCAGCTCCAAAGTCTGAGAAGTCAAGGAGTACAAAGTAGAGAGAGAATCCCTTCCCACTTTCTCACCTTGGTTTCCGCAACTGCTCGTTTGTGTACCTCGGTGATGACCAGTGACGGTAAATATCAAGCACATGGATGAACTGTGGCAGACAAGATGAAGAAGACATGCAAACAAGAGAGCGATTGAGAAAGAGAGTGAACTGGAGGCATTGAGATGAGGCCGCAAAGGTGTATTGAAAGGAAAGGTACGAATACAGAGTAAGGTCAGGTACTTGCGGATGCCTGAGTGTAAGGGAAGGTACCTTACCTGTGTACGGAATACTTTACAGACTAAGGTAGGGAAGGTATGGATAGTAATTAATTACGAGAACGCATAGACCATAGTGCTATCCGTTCCTATCTTATGTCAGCACCTTCCCCCGCTGACACACGTGTTGGTCGGGGATGATGGAAAAGATACCTGAGACTTTGTCTCCTGCCTTAGGTAATTCAATGTCAGAACATCAGGTTGGAAGCCCAGGTCATGTGGTTTGTCTTCAGGGCAAGGAGGTATCCGTATGGAGCACATGGAGCTCATGGAGCACAGAGTACGTATGTAGACAAGGTACCTCCACTCCACTTGAAGCTTCCTCCCCCACCTTCGTCCCCCTTGGTCTACTTGTACTGCATCTCACTCTGCCTGTCCCTGCGCCCATCTCCACCGACAGGCTAGACAGTATGGCATTGATTGACGCGACCAAGCATCACACGGACCATTTGGATAAACAAGACGAGAGACCAACGGGAAGAGACATAGCGACTGTCTAATTGCACACACTATCCGCTGTGCCCGGTCGAGAGACAGTGCTCAAGACTGTGCGGGCTGTCTACGATCACTTCCCCCCAACTGTCAACGACATTACCTACAGTAACCTATCGACAAGGCGAGGGCTTCACTCTCTTCCATCCTAGCCTCGCTCCGATTCCAAGGGGGAAACAAAACTGAGGGAGAGAGGAGACTTACATCAAGGGACGCATAGGATCCATCAATAACCCACAAGATCGAGATTCATCATCATCCCATACGACATGACACGAGAATACGCGCCTGCTATGGCCTCGTCTTGTTGGATTTGTCTGGCTCCGGTTCAGCTCAGCTGTGCCGGCGGCCTACCTTGCCCGAGCCACGGAAGCAGAAAAAAAACACACGGACTCGTCGACGCATCTCGTGCTGAGCTCCCCGGAAGCCTGTGCAACACTACAAAGTGCAAGCTGGGAGTCTAGAGAAAGGGAATCCCTTCCAGAGGAACGTCGACGGCAAGGTTCAGGTGCATTTGCCGCAAAGTTGCGGCCCCACTGAAGAAAGTGTGGCAGGTTGAACTTATCAAGGTACACTTGCCGTGACTGGCTTTTCCGCTGCATTTCGCGGTCCCAACATGGAAATCGACAATCTGAAAGGAATGGAAGCTGCGGGCTAACACCTACCTTTTCCCCTTCGGATACGGATACCTTGCAGTCGCCTTTCAGCTTCAGAAGGTGCTTACACCACAACCCGCAGCACGGCACTTCAAGAACCACCAACCCTGCACCTTTCTGAACAGATGGGATGCCAGCCCAAGATACAGACTACGGGATACCTACACCTTTACCCTACGGACACACGCCATGATAGCGCTCTTTGACAGTTCTTTGCTCCCTCGAGTTTCGATGACAACTTCATGCGTTCGAGTTTGGTAGCCCGTCCCGGTCCACCTCGTTCCTCTTGAGCTTGGGCCGTCACGTCACTTTGCCATCGTCATTTCTGCAAAATGAACCACCCAAGTCGGCTTCTTAGCCCTCTCACGACCTACAGACGGACTGCCTATTCAGCAATCCGAGCAGCCTCACCATCACTCAATCCTTGCTGCCACAGCCGCTGCCCCCCTCTACCCACACGGATCGACAGCCTACTTTCTTCTTCTACGCCGCAAATGGCGGCTTTGCGGTATCCGGCTCTACCTATCCTTGGCCTCCCCCACGAGCTCGCGCTTGGTTTGCGGTTTTGCTCTGAAAGCCTGCGATAGTGGATAACTACGTCGCTCTCTGTCTCGGGTTATTGCAAATCCCCATCTGCCTTGGATATGCAGAGTACAAACACACTGGTCAGGCAGCGTGCAGGACAATCGCAGGTCTCAGTCGGGTGCCAGCCGCCAACATTGTCGACATCTTGGTCCAAGGTCGACTTGGACGGGCTACCACCGATCGCCAGGAACGGTACTGACTAGAGCCATGTCACAACAACACATGCCCGGTGCGCCACTGCGACCTCAGTCCGCGTCCACACAGCCGTCCACTTCCCGCCCGCGTTACGACGGCACCCAAAGCACCAAAGCAAAACCACGACACCGGATCAGAATTCACCAACCATATCTGGCCAACTGAGCAATCATCTTTTGCCGTCCCAACCTGGTTTGGCCAGCCTGCCAGCCCATCCTGTCCAATCCGAGCCCATTTAATCACATCCGTCCGAACCTGAGCACCGCTGGTGCATATCTCACCCGGGGCGCCTGGAGGGTGCCTCCTGCGCAATCGTCAGAGCAGACGGCAGTCATCGTCAGTCGTGCCTCTCTCTTGCTTGCTCTCAGCAGCCTGCTTGCTGTGAGGATACATGACTGCCCATGCTGCCACGCGACAAATGGAGCAACCATTGCGACCATTCCCGGCCTCTGAGGCCCGCCGCTGCGCAGACCGACTGTCGCTTTTGTCTGCCTTTTGCTGCTCCAAGGCCGGGCCTGGACAAAAGGAGAGCAGAGACGGCGATGAATTGGGACGAGTTGCTTTGGGGCCCTCCTCTTTACTGACCCTTTCCGACATCTGCCCCGGTCAGACTGCCAGAATAGGCCGCTGCGATTCGTGGGTGCAAGCGGCCCCTGTCGTTTTGCTGTCGCCTGCCCCTTGAGCCCGGCCGCGCTAACGCAACTCAACGACGCCAAAATCGCGTCGGTTTTTTTTTCTTCCCTCTTGGGCTTACCGGGGATTGGAGGCTTTTGCAGTCTCGCAGCACGTCGCTCGCTGTGATCAACTGACAGGATGGTGGGGTGCCTCGCTGTCCCACGCTTTCCCGATTCTGCTCAGCGACTCCCAAAACGCAACGCTGCGATGCAAGTCTTGGGCAGCCACTGCAGCTGCCGCATCGCCAACCTCGAAAAGAGGAACGCTGACAGTTACTTTGGGTTGGCCTGCCTGCGAGGATCACCGCCTCCTCCGCTGCCGGAAAACTACCAGTACCAAAGGGGCAACTTCATCACCACCAGGCGTCACCGTCTTCATCCTTACAGGACATCAAACAGCCCAGACATGTGGCCGAAGACGCCCAGGGCAGACGCCGGTTCCCTTACTCCAGGTACCAGCCGCTGCTCCCGCAGGCTAGTACAATGGGCTCCCCACCCGTTTTCCGCTCGTCTCACTCGGCAACGCGTTGGTTCGCCAGGTCGCCGAACCTTGACAAGTTGACAATGGGCGAGCCGCAAGCCTATTCCTTTTTTGGCCGAGATCCAAAGGAGGAGAGACAACTCACTCTCAACGCTGTTGATTTTCAACTGGTAGTCACTGGTGTACCGCTGCTGCACAACAAAGGAGACGCGATGCACTGATGTGGCCCTCTGGCCAAAGCAACTGTCACCGGCAGGCACACATAGTTCTCCACGTCAGATCTGTGTGCGGTATCCGTACATAGCTTATAATACCTATGCTGGTTATGGATACACAATCATCACTTGTTCGGCTTTCGTACTGTCTGCCACAACCCGTCGTTTCTCTCGAGAACTGGACTGCTGCGACTGCATTTGTGGGTGGGCCCATCAGAACTCCGAAAGACAGGGCAAGGACGCTCCGCGGTCTGTAGAACTGACATCCATGCACCCATGCTGTATTCGTACGGGTCAAGGAGACATCGGCCCATCAACTACGGAGTAACATGGAGGGAAATCGTCGTGCGGTGTACCGCGTTTTCGGCGTTAACCCAACCTGGCCTTGTTGCCTCCTACGAGGTACGGACCATGTACGGAGTATGTACGGAGTACTGCTCGCGGATTGTGGTCGGAGCCCGTTGTACGAATACTTACTTATCACACTGTATCTGACTTGTCTTGACCTGCAGCGGAACACTTTTCTTCTTCCCCGCGAACTAGGCGTACCGCCGGATGCACACATTGGACGCTCTTCTATATCTGCCGTCTGTCGTCAGATACACAACGACCGATTGATCCATGTCCTTGCGCTGGTCAGAGAGCGACACGGGCTGAAAAATTAGCCAACGGATGTAGACTTGCAGCTTCAGCTCCTCCTTCGCATGATTTTTACCTACAGAATACTTGGGCTGCTGGCTTGTTAAAAAAAAAATGATACTCTCGGCCGTACGAGGCGAACAGGAGCATGCATGGTCAGGTGTGGTTCCATCACGGCGCCGTTGCAGCAGAGGACAAATATACATCTAGAAATGGCACAAAGACTTTCAACTACACAGTCACATAACGTACCAAGCCTTTGGGAACGTAAATGGCGTCTCTTGTGCACAGTTGAAGCAATCGCCATGGGGGTCCCTCGCCGTCGATCCTCAGCCAGCAGTAGCCCGGACAAGGCCGTGAGATCGAAGGGCCAGCCAGCGAGGCCGGGGGAGCGGGCAACGGCTTTCATTCCACATTCAGATGTAGCGTCTTTACGCTACGGGAAGTTTTCCCTCGAAGATTTCCGCGCCTTTGGTCTGAAGCTAGCCGGGTTTCATTTCTCGTCGAAAAGTCATGGTCCCTTGACAATTGGTGGTTCGATTCGGTTCTCAAACCAGACACTGGGGACATATCCACGTTCTGGGCAGCGACCCTTTTTCTAGATTGCTCGACAGCAATAGATGGGTCATCACTTGAGCCGACACCGCCGCAGTACCGCTGCAGGGGTGCAAACAACAAAGACACGCGAGCTGCTATTCCTGAAACTGGACTCGCAATATGGGAAAGAGAAGTCTGCGATGCTCACGGAATTTGTGTGCTGGGGACACACAAATGTGTACAACGATGTCAAGGCCACTCACCAAGCTTCGTGGTCACTCGAAAGCAATGTGGACTTGATCCAGGAGTTGCCTTCGGAAACCTCCGTTACCATGAATTCCAATACCGAGCATGGATATTTAGCCTGACCGAGATACTACGATTTCCTTCACTGACAGCCCAGACGGCGCAATCTGAAGTCACATCGCGCTTTCCAAGCATCTATCCAAAAAGCGGCTGATCCCAGGCATCCCAGACCAAGTACTAGAGCGCAGACGTGCGGTTGGCCGCTTTCCACTGGGTGACAGTGCTAAGTAAAACGAGGCGCGCAAACCTGGGCCCGCCACAGGCCTCGTTCGTGGGATTTTCTTAAGATGTGCATGTTATAGGACCCCCTTGCCTAGAAACAATCGTCCTGGGGATCAGTTATGCAGTACGCGCACATCACAACGCAGCATCTTCTCACATCGTCATGTCAGGAAACGAGGCCACGAACATCAGCTACACTGGAAATGTCGCCGTCATTGCGCAGATTGTCAAGTGCGATCGGGCTTCAGCCCACCTTTCGCCCACTTCAGCCTACGCTGCCCAACTATCTTGGCTCACTATCCCGGGACATGTTCGCCATGATGTCGTGTATGGCGATCAGCTAGGAATCTTGGATGGCTGATTGGGCGTTCATCTCTTGCTCGATACAGTTTGACACTGTCCGGGAGTAAAGTTCCCCGGAGAGGCGCGGCGCCTCTTTCTGTCGATCTCTGGAACTCGTCTATGGTAATCACCAAGTCATCGTCGCCTTCACTCTTCACCCTGTCTTTTCACAGGAAAACTGCGTACGACGCCTACATTACCAAAGTTTGGGACCGAGGCAGTCATTACAAGTCAAACGGAAGATAGTTGGATACGATTCAGCTGGTCCGCACCCCCGTCAACTCATGCACAGATTCGATGCGGGCGAATTGGATTCATTCGGGCCGCCAACCGTGCCAAGCCAGCAGACAGCAAAGACCAAAAGTCACACAATTCGTCTTGTCATGCTTGACAACTTGGACGTTCCAGGCCACACTCTCATCAAGAACTTCTTCCGTGATCTCGGTCTCACTGGGCCTAGATCGTGCACACAGTGAAGTGCGGAAGACGGGATGCACTGCGACACAGGACCAGAACATACACGCGGCAGCACACCTAGCTAGACTGTGGTGTGGGGGCGTCTCCGGACCATCGCTCATCCGTGGGCGTTGTAACCTCACCACTGAAGCCGCTTCGCGATTCTTTAAGGTGGACCCTCTACGGAGTACTACCTAGCCCCAAGACATCGTTGGCTGTCCTTGATGTCTAGCCAATGCTGCACCTGAGTCCCGTTGGAGGGCGGAGGCTGGAATTCACGAGATGCGATTGGCGGCAGTGGACGACAGCAAGCAAGGCAACGCAGGTGCAGCGATTGGAGGCGGAATTTCATGTCCTCAACAAAGCCTTTTCAGCAGGGTCGATTCGATTGATTCGCCTTCAGTACCAAGCGATGCATGGCCCTGCGAAGGGCTGGGGGCCCAGAACGATTCGTCGACATGTCACCCTTTGGGCAAAGGGCAAGGTCAGTCTACGACGTTGCGCGAATTCATCAGACACGCCGCTTTTCAGCGGTCTTCGGGGCAAGGCGGGACATGAGGACAACGGCGCCGAACGGTATATGGCGTTTCCTGGAGAGCGGAACGCTTGTAAAGCTAGCAAAGCGGAAAGAAGACGTTGTCTCACTTCGTCCCAGATACTTGGCACCTTTGTCCGTGCCGATTGGGCGGCCTACGACTGTCAGTCTTAGTCTTTGCTACAACATGCTTATCACGCATCACGTCGGCGTTTGACGAGTAACTCTAGCCTCTACGGAGTACTGCGAAGCAGTGCTCTCCTGACGTTGCGCTATGGCTAGAGCGATCTGAAAATCCAATCCTTGTTCGCTGGCTCGGAAAGACTTGCTGATGCCAATGTCTTCACGTCGAATTGCCAAGCGAAGATGGACCGGATCAGTATCACCGGCTAGAGGAGCTCGAACAGACAACGACAGGCCGATGAGCGGCGAAGCGAGGGTATTGTATTACGATGCCGGATTGATCATCTCACCGTTTTTTCATCGACGCCTGTTGCACAAGTCTCTTTCTCAGCATACTATGTAAGCTCTGTGCAATATACGTACTTTATCGGTAAACCTCTTTCTTCCTCCCCTGTTCGAACTTGTTGATGGTTTGCCGAAGTAGGTACTTCTCCCGGCGGCTCTCAAACGCCATACTGGATCAGGCTGCGCCTCGAGATGTCGATGTAATCTGCTCGTCAGACATCTACCCGTCGTTCCACTCTGACGATTTGACGAACCCTCCCCCGGAGATGATATTCGGCAAGGAAGACATACGGAGTACCATGTGGACTGGATGAGTTCCGAGTGTAACCACTTCTATTTTAGTGTCTCCTTGCAAGGACGAAGAACCCGACGCCGTGGATGAAGTTCAAGGTGTTCGTGGAGAGCGACTAACTTGCGGAGTACGATCAATCGGCTCGCCATCGCTCAAGCTTCCAATCGTCCAACGCAGGAAATTTGGACGACAGATGCCCACCATATGCTACCGAGCCGGCATGGAAAGCTACCTTGGAACACGGGAAACGAGAGAGGACGCAATTGCCTAGTCTAGTATCGAAGACGCCGGCGGTTCACGCCAGTGTCGAAGGCGTGACGCCAGCAAACACCACGGAACACCCACGCAACACACAAAATGCCAAGCGACTGAGATAGCGTGCAGGAAGACTTCCACAACGACTAGAGGAGTCATGGCCATGCATGGCTCCAACATGCACACGGGAGATGGAGCCTTTTTTTTTTCTCTCTTCCCTTTCAAGATATGCACAAGAAAGGGGTTCGGTATCCCTCCAACCTTGACTCCGGACAGCGGGCACTGGAAGAGAGATGTGATTACAGACGACCTCTTGCGGTAACATCGCCGCAGAAAACCCCCAAGAATCGATTTTTTGGTGGCTGCGAGTACTCGAGTTTATTAAAATGCAATGACGATACGGAGTATACGAGGCAGAGAGTGGCTTGGTTAATCAACAGGTATATAGTGGCATCCATGATCCAGATCCTGATCAACTTTTTTTTTGCTCCAACGTCCAAGGTGGAAACAGCGGCAAGCGGGAGATTGGGATCAAAATCGGGCCCTGGCGGCCACGTGCGGTGCCGACAGTGACGACTGACGAGATGGATGAGGTGCCGGCCCTGCCCCTGCGCTGTGGAGGGGGCCAAGGACAAGGAGTCTGCGAGGGCTCGTTTTTGTTCCTTCACAAGTTCACAACCAGGCATGGGATGATGGGGGCACGGGGACAGCATGCCGGATTTTTTCCCCCTTCGTTATGCGCACAAGCCGCAGGCCCATGCTTCTCATTAAACTCGACCAAGGGTCCTCGTCACGGCCGTAGTAAAGGGACCCGTGGAGGACGCGTGCGACGCAGACAACACTTGCATTCGACTGGGCTGGTGCGTGCTCTAGTTTCCACACATTTTACTTGTACGGACAGTACCCCATCTCTGCGACGACACAATTTCCTTCTCGCTCGCTAAACTGAGCACAGCCTCACGACATGGCCACCCCGAGTCAGTCTTGTTCAGTCCGCTACCGAGTACCGAACCGGTGCAAACAATGCGGATACTGCCGGACGACGTCTATCGTGTTGGAAGCCTTGGAACCTTTCTCTGGAGCTCTGGAGACAGGTGGATGCCGGATGCTAAACGCGCGAAAACAGAAGCCGTCGCCGGGAAGCATACACCAGAAGCCCCCCCCCCCCCCCCTTTTTTTTTTTCCTTTCCTTTGACAGCCGCGCGGTTTTGCCTGCCGGCCCGATGACCTGCGTCGGGTCGGCGGCCTTCGCTCGCCAGCTTACACTACTCGAGCGCTCCAACGCCATTCGGAGCTGTCACCGTCAAAGGACTCGTTACCCAGGGAGGCATGAGATGTATTCCGTGTTTCAATCTCCTCATGAATTGTCTCGTGGTGACGACTATGCTCAAAATGAGATTGCTGTCATCCCTTCCGGTGTTCTGCTAGCGCGCCGCCTCAACGATATGGAGATGTAGCTCAACCGACCCGGCCCTTCGTGTACCTGCAGCATCAAAGACCGTTCGAAAGTTAACATCATACTAAGCCTGGAGGCTGTCCACATCAGCCCTCTACCTGATGGTTTTGAGATTGACATTTTCGCGCGCGAAGCCTATGTTGGCTTAGCCTTTAATGTTCCTGCATTCGCCCATACGAAAAGCTGGCGTCCGTTGTGTTACATGTCGGAATGACATCGTCGGCCGCCTGCTTTTTTTTCTTGGTGGATGGCTGCGCTGTCAGCAAACAAACCCCGCCTGGGTTCCTGTACCGGCGAAAATACACTCGTCGCCATTGCCTCGCCTAGACAGTGAGTGTACAGCTGTCTCGGCATCATCCGCCAGATTATTTCTGTAGCTAATCGTACCTGCAGCCACCGATAATCTTGCTTTGCCCATGAGCAAACAAGGCATTGACACTTACAACTGTGCTGTGTCAGGAGGAGGGAGGAATCCTTCCGCTGCTGTGCTACCCCTTTTCACCAAGTATCACGTCCCGAGGAGTATTGATAGACGACCTTGTTCCACTCAACGGGATACACATGTTCACTACTTGGAGCGACACACCCACGGCTCAAGCACGAAGATCTCCGAAGTTGCCTGCAAGATGCCGAATTCTAATTCGCCTCGCAAGCTTGTCTAAAGTTGGTGCCCTGAGAGAGCAGAGCGTACACACATACCTACACACACACACATACGCACACACACACACACACCCTGCAAGCAGCCAGGTCCGTCAGCATGAAGCTCCGAAGCTGACAGGTGATATTTGTGCTTTCGGGACCTTGCAGCTCCGAATTACGAAAGGTGGTCATAGACCGGTGTAGTTTGCCATTGTGATACCTCAGACCGCAGCGGGTTTGTTCGTTATGCAAAGTTACGCCACATCCACGGTCTCGGGACCGCTCCGCTCAGCTCTGCAAAGACCAAGATAGGTCAACGAGAGACCAGTGTACCGGATGCACTCGGCAAGCTCGCTCTCTCAGACTCTCTCGTATACGGGCTCCTTCTTCGTGAAACGACCGCGGGCTTTTGCGGGTTGCTTTTTGCCTATCCAGATGCGGTGCATCGACCGGGCTGAGACTTCTTAACGTTGCTTTTTTCTTTCTCCCGCTTCCAAGGTCGCGAGATCGCAGCAATCACCCGTAGTTGGGGGGTAGGGCCCCGAGGAACCCGGGACAATGACGAGGCGAGACGATCATGTGTTGCAAATGTGTGCTTGATTTTTCCTGTACCTTGAGCTGGATCATCGTCGACGCAAGCTACTTTGTGAAAGCCCCTTCAACACTCCCGCGTTCGTAGGCGAAATCAATGCAGCGGCAGCCAGACGAGTTGAAGTCAGGGACTCGCCTGACTCGGCTGAAGGAGGATATTCTTGGATCCTGGGGTTGCACATGTCGAGTACACGGCATACGGCGGGACTTTGTCTCCAAGGCTAAAGACATTGTCTTGGGTCCTTCGGGGTACCTCTACTCGGTTCGGCACACGCCCCCCTTCGGTGAAGGTAGAGGGATGATGATGTTTGTTTTGTTGTTGCACTGGAGCTGCTGCCCCGGATCAAAATAAACATCACGGATCTCACGCGACACAGCTTATTAGGGATCTTCAGGCTTGGGGGAAAGAGGACTCCATTTCGAGAACTATCTCGCATCTGAATCCAACAAGTGCTCCCTTGACGAGACAACGGCGGGGAAAGAAGATTAGTTTGTATTTGCCCTTTCTCGCGCACTGGCCGGTTGATAGGTTTTGCCGTTCATCCTCTGTCTCCTCTACTCCCTTGTATGGAGCTCCGAGGACTTATTTGGCTCCAAGGGCCAAGGGAACGGTAAAAAGCGTACGATGTTGTCATACTAAAGTCTGTACAGGCCAAGTCTATTCTTGCTCTATCGATTCATTAGCAGAGCCTCCATTCCTCACGCCAGAGTAGTCAGTCAGTCGTAGACAACTACACTAAGGCTTCGAAACGAGGGCGTCGGTAAACTCCAGCGTGACGACACCGTCGCGACTCTCCACGACCTTGACAGAATCGAGGTCTCTGACGATCCAATCGGGTTCCGCGTCCACGACCTGCTCAACGGTGTGGCTCGTGACGAGGCCCAGCACCTTACACCCAGCCTCCTTACCGGCCCTGATGCCGGCGGGGCTATCCTCGAGGACGAGCACCTGCTTGGAAGCGTCTCCCAGGCCCAGCTTCGCGCGGCCAATGCGGTAGCAGGTCGGGTCCGGCTTACCGTTCTCGACGGACTCGGCGGTGACGAGGTGTTGAGGCTGCGGCAGCTTGAGCGCGTCGAGCCACCCGCCCACAAGGGGTTCAGTCCCCGAGGTGACGATGGCCCAGGGAGCCGACTTCGCGATGAGGGCGTCGAGGAGTGCCCTTGCCCCAGGGATCTCGACGGCGTCTCCCCCGTAGAGTTTCGGGAGGCGGCCTTCCATCTCACGCGTGTCTGTTCGTCTCCTGTTAGCCTTTTCTTCGCGAACCCCTGAGTTCATCACCGTCTCATCCCCCCCTTGCGTCATGTAGGTGAGCATGCATGAAAAAAAGTTGGGGAAACCTGACAGACGGCGCGCCGGTGAGTCGTGTTTAGGTAGGTGAAGCAAGGCAAGGGGGGAAGTCGGAATCAGGAACAGGTACCAAACACGCGAGATCAGACAAAACAGAGATCTGAGATTTTTTTTTGGATGCGTAGAGGTAAGGTACTCACACTCCCAATTTGCTTTTTCAGGGGCCAGAATCTTCAAGATGTCGATGCTACGACGGCCGTGCGAGGTCTCGAGGATGACTTCGGGCGCGACTCCTATTTCGTTGCCGACGCTGCAAGGGAGAAGAGAAGGCCGGTGTTAGTGGGGTTTTTGAGAGATGAGATGAGAGAGAGAGGGTAACCCCTCATGCAAGGGATGATTGGTGATGATGATGCTGATGAACCGGTGGAGTTTGTTGGTTTCCTTACGTGTGCCAGTGCTTCACGACGGCCTCTGTTGAGTCGATGATGGTGCCGTCCATGTCGAAGAGGAAGCCATCAAAGGTGAAGCGTTGTGGAGGGGCCGTGTACGACATGGTTAAGTCTGGTAGACAGGGTAAGCGGTTATCCCTCTGAAATGAGTTGTGAATGTATGCCTGAAGAGATGAACGTTTTATGTGTTCGATCTATGGTTATGGTCTTTTAATGTGGTCTAAGATTAATAGTGAAGAGAAAGTTATTGTGTTCAAGAGTCTAGTTGAGATTACGAGTTGAAGTTGAGTGAGGTATGACTCTGAAAGGATCGTTGAAGTTCCGAGTCGGCAACGACAACCTTGGTAATCCGCCTTTGACCAGCCCGCTATTTGAGCTGCGGCATCTTTCCAGCGGCCAAAAACACCGAGACGGGCATTCCTGTCCACCGGAAGGGGCCCCTCTAACGCTGCGGCAGCGCCATCGCGGCAGCACTGAGCGTCTGTGATCCACCGGCTCCAGCACGCCTTTTTTTTTTTTTTTACCCATCGGCTTTTTCTTTCTTATGTCAGCTGTCGCGGGGCAAAGTTACCCATGGCGGGGCTCCTTCATTGGGATTAGCGTCAGGCGGTGAGGATATCTTGGTGGGGCGCGATAGCGATAGCAGAAGCGGTGTGGGATGGCAGAACCCGACCTCCCACTAAATTTTTGAAAGTTGCACTGCAAGGACTGGCCGAAGCGCCAGGAAAGTTTTGCGGCGGTCGAGGGTAGCAAAGCACCAACCAAAGCTCACCCCCATACAACAAAAATCTTGCCAAAAGTCGCTTTGGTCAGATATCACGATGGCTGGCTCAATTAACAAACCCAAGAGTATGTGAGAGTATCTCCTGAATTATTGCCAATATCTTTTATGTTATACCCTTTTTGACTAACAGCATCTTCGCAGAGCCAAAGTCCAAGAGGACGACGGTTCGCCTCCGCCACAAGATCGAGAAGAAGTCGGCGGCGAAGCAGAGGAAAGACAGAAAGAAGGCCAAGCAGAACCCGGAATGGCGCACCAAGCTCAAGAAGGACCCGGGTATCCCGAACCTGTTCCCCTACAAGGAGAAGATCCTCGAGGAGATTGAGGAGAACAAGCTGCGCAAGCAGGAGGAGAACCAGAAGCGTCGCGAAATGGCAAAGGCCGCCAAGACGGGCGCCACCGTCGCCGGCGCGACCGGCCAGCAGGTCGACGTGGCCGACGACGACATGATGGTCGAGGACGACGATGAGGAGGACGACGGCGACGACTCGAACCCCATGGCCGCTCTCCTGCGCAGCGCGAGGGCCGCCGCCGAGACGTACGAAAAGGAGTTGCGCGACGACGATGACGACGAGATGGACTCGGACGACGACTCGGGCGACGACTCTGACGCGCCCGCCGAGATCCCCGTCGGCAACGCCACCTCCCGCAAGGCCTTTGACAAGGTCTTCAAGAACGTCGTCGAGCAGGCCGACGTCATCCTCTACGTCCTCGACGCCCGCGACCCGGAATCAACCCGCTCCCGCGACGTCGAGCGCAGCGTCATGGCCGCCGCCAGCGGCGGCAAGCGCCTCATCCTCGTCGTCAACAAGATCGATCTCGTGCCCCCCAAGGTCCTCAAGGACTGGCTCATCCACCTCCGCCGCTCCTTCCCGACCCTGCCCCTGCGCGCCTCCAACCCGGCGCCCAACGCCCATACCTTTAACCACAAAGAGCTCACCGTCCAAAAGACGTCGTCCGACCTCTTCCGCGCCCTCAAGTCCTACGCCGCCAGCAAGCAGCTCAAGCGCGCCGTCTCCGTCGGCGTCATCGGCTACCCCAACGTCGGCAAGTCCTCCGTCATCAACGCCCTCCTCGGCCGTCTCTCCGGCGGCCGCGGCGCCTCAAAGGCCTGCCCCGCCGGCGCAGAGGCCGGCGTCACCACGAGCATCCGCGCCGTCAAGATCGACAGCAAGCTCACCCTCCTCGACTCCCCCGGTATCGTCTTCCCCTCCGCCAAGAACGCCTCCGCATCGGGCCTCGTCTCCCTCAAGAACGCGACAGACGCCCACGCCCACCTCGTCCTCCTCAACGCCGTCCCGCCCAAGAACATCGAGGACCCCATCCCGGCCGTCACCCTCCTCCTCCGCCGCCTCGCCGCCTCCCCCGACCTGCTGCAGAAGCTGACGGACGCCTACGACCTGCCGACGCTGCTGCCCAGCCGCGCCGACGGCGACATCACGACCGATTTCCTGGTGCAGGTCGCGCGGAAGCGCGGCCGTCTGGGACGCGGCGGTATCCCCAACATCAACGCCGCCGCCATGACCGTCGTCACGGACTGGCGCGACGGCCGCATCCAGGGCTGGGTCGAGGCGCCTGTCCTTGCTGTCCAGAGCGATGCCAAGGGCGCCGCGCCTGCTGCTCCCGTGGCTGACGACGTTGCTGCCGCGGATCAGAAGACTATTGTCACGGAGTGGGCCAAGGAGTTTGACCTCGGTGATTTGTTCAGTGGTCTTGCTTCTGCTGGCGATGAGGACGAGGCGATGGAGCAATAAGGGGTGGTGCAGTATAGTAATGGAGAGAACGTAGTGAGAGGAGGAGAGGGGAGTACATGATATCAAAAGAGAAAGTGGAGGAGACGTTGTGGTCCCATTTCTTGGGTTTTAGCTCCCTCATGAAGAGCCTGGCTGGCTGTTAGATTCCTCATTTTGTTTCACATGGCGTTTTTGGGGCGGTCCAAGGGGAAAATAAAAAGTAAAGAATGACGATTCAGCCCGTTGTCCTCATTCAAATCTGCACATACACTTTCATCCGGAATGTCCCTTGCTTTCATTTGATTTGGTCCTTATAGGATTATAGACGATTCTGTCATCCCGAGCGACCTCCTGCTTTCCATCCGCCCAACGATATTTGGTTGTGCGCAATCAGATGGCGATCCACAAACGGCCATGATGCAATGTCGAGTCACAGCTCAGCGGTTGAGAAATTTGCGCTTGGTGGTTGACTTGCTGAACATCATAGCTATTTCAATACTAGTCTCTCCCCGTCTTAGTCGAAGATTGAGAACTTCGACTCGATCCCAACTCCATTGTGCTCTTTAAATGTCGCGTAAGCTGAGCTAGGGCAGCCGGCGGAAGAATTGGGAGCCATCTCAGCCCACGGGAAGTCGACGTCTTCACCTACATCTAAAAGATCCCAGCAATCTGATTGTCAGCAAGCACTGACTTCGCTGATAGATGGGCTGACAGGATAATCGGATCACTTACCAGGGTAAAACCACAGTCGCCTCAGGATCCGGAAATGCATCCAGTCTTTTCCTAACCGGGGAACTCTCCTCCGCAAGTTGTGCTTGAAGACTGTAAGCATATAAGAATGTACAATGCCTTCAAGTTCGCCAACCATCATGTCTGGCGTCTTTCCAGCTAACTTCTGAAGTACCATGAACTCCACCGAGGGATTTGGGCGGTCATTTTCAGGGAATTTCTTTAGCAGGGTCTGTAACTTTGTGGTCCGCCGTCCGCATGTCGTCCAGACTCTGTACGCAGTCTCCAGATGACCCTGAGAAAGAACAAGCGATGAATTCTGCGGCGCGAAAGGCTTGGGGTTGTCGGCGACATTGGATGTCTGCCGAGACTGATGTGTGGCCGTAGGTGCCAACGGCCTCTCACCGGCAGGTGCTGTTTTCTCCATGGCAATAGACGTAGCCGGTCTCTGCTTCATAGGTGTCTTCCGCTTCGGTACTGTCGAGTTCTCAGATGCCGCACCTGTCACATCCACAGCCTGGACAGTCGCCGGCGCCTTTGATTGCGGTGTCGCCTCGCTAGTATGTGGTTGAAGGCTCACAATGCCCATGATGATCGTATTCTCGCTGTGGTCCAGAATTCTGTCGAGCATAGCATGGGCCTGCTGGCGAGATCCATGAAAAGCGAAAGTTTCTTCTGAGAGATGGTCTACCACGGGCTTGCCAAGGCGTCTGGTGTTGCTGATATTGATGGTGATGTCTCCAGCGTCTTCAGTGTTCAAGATGACTCCGAGGCGTCCGAAGACAGGCTTGGTGTTGTCGGAAGCGGGTGACGACAGTTTGACTCGCTTGGCCGGTGGTTGAGAGGACGCCTCCGCGGCAGGGACGCCGTTACCTTCCATCTTGAGTCACTCCACGGATGAAGGAAACGTCAGTAAACTAGCCGAAAGAAGGTGCACTTTGGAAGGGCAAACCTGGTAAGGAGATTGACTTTGGATGGTTGTGTAATTTGGAAGTTGGTTTGGGTGGGTTGTGGGGAAGAAGAAGGTGGTGAAGGTCAAGGCTGAATATTGTAGGAAGGGACGCCCGAGGCACATGCTCCTCCTTTGGGAATGCATTCACTGAGTGGTGTGGGACACTCGCCCAGGAGAAGGCAGGCTCGGACAAGTGGGTGATATAATAATCCGCTAACTACCTTACAGTGTATATTATAACCTTCTCTTTCTTTGTCGCTATATCATAGATATTATATAACGAATATAACCGAAGGGCTACTGACTGACATCGATTATAATGCCAGTCGTGGTAGTGACGATGGTAGTGAAGGTAATAGAACGAGGCTGTCAAGACTAATGAAGCTCTATTTGAATCTAGTACTACTTCCCAGACTATTCGTGTGGGAACTCAGAAAGATAGAACTTCTTCGTTTAGTTATGTCCCTTATAAGAGAAAACAAAGTGTTCTATGGCCGTTATTTCATGAAACGCTCGCTTTACTATGTCAACTATGTACATGGCAGGACTGTTTACCAAAGGCGCCCTCGTCTTGTACGGAACTTCAGGTTACTTCATATCCCTGATAATCCTACTGACTTCGGTGAATTCGAATACCAATTTTTCGTAAAGGCTGTTTCATTCATATCAAGGATCTAGTATATTGTGTTCAGATCAACCCATGGTAGGTCGATGTAGCGGCATATTCCCACCTACTCCCAAACCCGAATCACGCATGGTAGAGCTACATTCGAAAGTGATAGGGAATTTGATTTCATTCGCTCGCACGCGAGATCACGTCGTAGGCAGTTGTTGAGACCATGTTCATGACCTGGGCAGATGCGGTCAGATAAGTAGGTAGGTGACTCCTGCATTGCCTGGGCTGCCTTC